CTTGGACCAAACCAGACCAAACCAGAGCATTTATAAGGAGCTGAATATTTGTGGTTTGGAATATGGGAAGCGGAAAAGGTTTCTCCCAACCCTGGAATAGTTTAGCAGGTTTTTTTTTTTTAACCCTGGCTCCAAATTTTCCCTGGAAAACCAGAAAACTCCCCAAAGTCTGCCATTCGAGCTCTGTATGGTTCGCTCGCCCCTAACAGCCAGGGCCGTTCATTTTAAACCCATCCCAGGGAAATTTTACTGGATTTTCTTCCTCCTGTTTTTAAGGGTTTGTTTGGATTCTCGCCATCGCTATCCTCCTCTTGACAGCAGCCGGGCTCTTGCTCCTCCTGTTCTTTTGTCGGAGAACGAAGAAAAAGAAAGCCCGGATACACTGCGAGGACATTTTTGGAGTTTCCTGCAAGGGTGAGTTTGGGGTGGCAAGAGAAGGGGCAGTTTAAAGTGTGGTTTGGGGGGCTTTGGGGGTCTCGTTTACAGCTTCATGCGAATCCGAATGGCCGCATTCTTTTTGATTTAAAAATTGGATCTCCCCTTTTTGGGTGATGAGGATGGAGTTTTACCGCCGTTGGTCGATGATTTTCTAGTAACGTTCGGCATGCCGTAATCCCCTCCAAATTAGTCCCACGACAAGCTAAGGGTGTTTCACCCAAGATCATGCTTTGATTGCAATTTGCGTACCAGATTTCCGGGCGGGTTGAGTTCTCTTCTTTTAAAGATAATTCTTTTCCCTTCTTCCTCTTCCAGATGACAGCAACGGTTATCGAATGCCGATCCAAGAGCAACAGATTGGGGTCAAATCCAATTTCGTCCAGGGCTGATCTAAGGGAGGGAGAAAAGAACCGAATCATTACTTCTGAATCAGAAGTAACCCAGAATGAACTTTATCTGGGTTTGTTGTTCGGAGCTCTTCCTTGATCTCTAAATGAATCAATATCCTTTCTGTATCTTTTTTCGTTTCTCCTCCCTGATGTATACTGTTTGGGTTATTTTCTAGAGTTTTTCTTTTAGAAGAACATGGCTGAATTTGCATATCTTTTTTCACAATCCTTTTTGTTTTAAAAAAGGACTGCGAAAGTGCGCCCGCAGATCAGGCCTGCTTTTATTATTTTGTTTTTATTCACCAAAGAAGAACAGAAAGAGCAAAAATAATCTCATGTTTGACTGGTGTTCTTAGGAAATCCGAGGCATAGCCAGGAACCTAAGAATTATGCAAGTGAGTTAAAACGTGGGCTCAGTTGATATAGTTAAATAATAATAATAATAATAATAATAATTAATATTTTTATAGCATCAAATTATATCAGGCTGTAAATAAGAGCAAGCAACGGTTATTTTCAATTTACACTGCGGAAGACAACAGAATTCATTTCACTAAAGCCGAGCCAGTTTTAAAGATAAAATAATTTAAAAAGAGAAGCTGGCTACGGATTTCCGCATGTTTAAAAGCAATGCATTTCACATGTATTGTTTGTTGTATTTTTTAAGTTGAAGACACTTCGACATTTCTGTTTGTTTCTTGGAGGAAACATTAACTTCACTCCCAAAGCTGGAGTTATAAATATATATAAGTAAATCCTCAATTATTTCCCAATGGATGTTCACAGGCAAACGGGACGTAAAATGCCACGGTAGCACACGAAGATGGGGATTTGATCTTGCAAAGGGCCATTTCACTTGTATGTCAGATAGCAAGGCATATATTTCTTTTATTGCAATTAAAATGGGATCTGCTGGTCTTTCAGCCAAAAGAAAGAAGTTTTCAAACATCGAGCAAACCCACCAAGGGGATTGTACAGTTCCCAAAACAAGGAACATTCGAACGATTCGTTGCAGATTATCATTTGCTCCCATTTCCCCCTCCAAACGGTTGAAAGCGGGACGGTCAAGCGTTCCCAAAGCGATCCGGTTTCAAAACGGCTGCACGAACGGCCGGGCTGGAGGTTCAGCCGATGCTTTTCAAGATCCATCCCGTTCTTGACCGTTTGAAATGTTTAGATCTTGTTTCATTATTCTCCTGGCCTCCTTCAACCTTGGGTGGGGAGAGCAGGGCAAGGGCCTCGTGTGAAGACCGTATTTTCTTTTTGCTATCCTCTTGGTCTGTAAATTTGGTTCCTGTGTAAACTCCTACGAACGCTTTTCATTTTTCTTGCCCTGGTTCCGGCTGTGTTTTGCTCCTGTCGTTTGTAGGAAGAGAGAGGTAGGAAGAAATTCCTGAAGTCTGGCTTTTTGAATCAAGGGAAAAGGATGCCCGCGGGCGATTTCCATGCGACGCTTTCTGAATGTTGACCGTCCCCGAGGTTTTTCACGAACACCGAAAACGCTCCGTTTTGCTTTTGAGTAACGGCTCGGTAGCAAGTCACGCGTGGGGAGTGAAGGATGTCTAAAGATGGGATGAAAATGACACCAAATAAACCTATTATGAGATATTCTGGGTTTCTTTCTGTCTGCCCGATAGCAAAGGTGTGTCGCTTTGGCTGAAGCCAAGTTTATTTATTTCTGTTATTAAATTTATATGCTGCCCATCACCCCCAGAGGGCAACTCCGAGCGGCTTACAATTAAAAACCCAGGCAAAAAACCCAAGAAAAATGTCAATTAAAATCACAATTAAAGCCAATCTACTCAACCTCCAGCTGAGGCCAACTGCTTCTAGGAGCTCTCCAAGCAATTCTGGAGTAGAAAGGGGTCTCGGAGGTCATCTAGTCCAACCCCTGCTCATTCAAGAAATTGGCTTCCCCAACTTCTCCGATGGCTAGCGCCCCAGCCATTGGCTTCAAACTTCTCAAAACCCACCACTTCCCTTAGCAGACCAGGGTTACCAGACTCTGCACAGCCTGTGGTTTGTTTAGGTTTACCCCTTCTTGCACCAAACCACCTATTCTGGCTTGAACATGATGGTTTATGGCGGAACATCGCGGCTGAGCCACAGCACTTGTTCAAGACCTGGCCAGCCTTCAAACATTGGCTGAGATACGGCGGCCTCCTCCTTGTGCTGCAGAGTTGTGAAAAGCAACACAACCGGGGCCGGGCAGAGCAGCCGCGACCAAGGAAGGAGGGTGGCAGGTTTTGCGGTCAAAGTCGACAACAGCCACAACTGGGGTCCCCCCCTTTCCTGGGTTACCTTGGAAGGTGATCTGATCTGGCCAGACATCCTCCTGTTGAGCCAGGTCACCATTACTGACGGGGTTTCAGCCTTGCTGAATGGCGATCTCGGAAGAATGCAAAGAGAAGAGGCTGGATCAGAGTCGGAGGCATCTAGCCCAGCCTTCTGGGTCCTTCCAGGTGTACTTGGAAGCCCATTATCCTGGGCAGGGGGACAGCCTCCCACCTTCCTTCGAATGCATGATGCTAGAGATCCTATTGAGCAGCGTTTCTCAACCTTGGCAACTTTAAGATATGTGGACTTCAACTCCCAGAATTCCCCATGCGGGCGGGGAATTTCTGGGAGTTGAAGTCCACATATCTTAAAGTTGCCAAGGTTGAGA